ATAATAAGTCCGTGGAAAAAGATATCAATAATACAGAGTCACTGAAGCTGGCCTTTTACTCAATAAAGCAGTTGTTTATTTAAAAAGTAATAAATTAATATATTATATAAAATGACGATAGCTCAAGGACGTCTATAATTTATTTTAATTGATATTAATCATAATAGCAGCACAAATCATTATAAGCTATGATTCACACATATTTACATATATGGTATATCCTGTATAATATTTTGGTTTTTTGAAAATTGAAAACAACAATTTGTATTATTGAACAGAATTTGAATTAAAAATTTAAAGCAACTGTTCGTCGGCAATGCAGTTCTCGCCTTTGTACATAGTATGTATGTATGTAGACAGATTAAACCAACTTCACTTCAAAATACTCATTTGAGCACACATTTTGACAAACCAGAAGCCACGAATAACGCTACTTCAGCAAGAGTGGCGAGAAACACTCGGCTTGAAACCAATTTGCTTTAAATAAGACGCAATTTTGTTTTGATTCTTTTACATAAAATATTTTGGTAATTTATTAGAATATAAATTAACACACTTATTCAGTCTAAATTGTTTACTAACTAAATATTGCTTCAACACAATATGCGCGTAAATATCTGGGTAATATTTTGTATCTTACAAATGCTAAATGCTAGATAGAAAACAGTATGCTTTGGACTAGAAATCTGAGACGCGACCTCTGCGTTCCCAATCGCCGTAACGTGTTGGTTCGGGCCCAGCTGGACCGCCAATTTCACCTGTGTGTGGGTTCACGCTATTTGGCCATGGTTTCCAGGGTCCTCTTGTGGCACGGCCGTCCCGTAATTTTTTCAAAGAGACTTTCGAAAGAAATTTTCTTGAAAATACCATAGCAGGGCTTTCCGGTTTATGAGCGGCATTTGTCTGATTGCATGTGCACGATGTGGAGAAGGCTGGAGCGGCTGTCTCAGGGATTGGGAAAAAATTGATTTGCTTGCCCGCTGTCTGGCATAAGCGGCAACTCTGCTTCACAATATTGCCATTGTTGTAAGTTTTGATTGCTATATTTCACAAACACAGATTTTCAATTTAATATAGAAATTTTTTTTAAACTTTTTCACTTGTGACCGTTAAAAATTTGTTTTCAGTTTATTTTGGTTTTCGCTTTCAAGCTTTCGACTTGTTGTTGGTTGCTCGTTGCTGAACGAATGTTGCTCCAAAGCGATACCGAAACCTTGAATGGCATACTCGCAGGTGAGCGCGCAATGGATTTCACGAAGAGCACACCGGACGCTCAGCGTAATTTTGCAGCATGTGTTTGGCGTGCGGAGCGCCGGTGAACTCACGTACGCTTGTTCCGAGTGGAGTGAATCACACGATAGCGGTGGTGGTGTCTGATGGACTTTTCTGCATACGTATGTATGTATGTATGTATGTATGTGGGTATAAACATATCATACGTTGTTTGCTGTCACCAGCTGAGCCATCATCACAAAGCATTTCGGCGGCAATTGGTACGTATATCTATTGAAAACTGATCGCCAGTGATGTTACGTCCTTAAATGCACGTACGCCGCAATATGTAGTACATATATATGTGCTTGCGTATGTACATGTAAACATACCGGAAGGCAATTAGCCAATACACTGGATCGCTCACGTTTTATCTCTCTTTGGTGGCGCTTCACTGCGAAATCGGGGTTGCCCAGCATCAGGTGCAAAAAATGTGCAATATTCCATTTTTCAATAATCATTCTAATAATATTATATAAGGAATTCTACGAATTTGTCTACTCTCATACATACATACCTATGGATCGTTTTTGGCGGCAGACTTCTGTGCGCGTTTCGGGGGTTGAAGTCAAATTCAAAGTCCAGTAAACGATCGCATAGTTGTGTGGTTGTTGTTGACTTTTTATTCTTTTCAAGCTAATGTAGCCCGGTTTTAGAGGATTTTGTTTGCAAAAATTTAGATTTTTGCAAAACAAATAAATTTTCTCAATCAATCAAAATCAGAAAATAATATAAAATAAAAAAATTTAAAATATAATATATAAGTTTAAAAAATTCAAAAAAGTTTTAATTAAAATTAAAAAATTAAAAATAAGAATTGCAAAAATCTATAAATTTCATTTTTACGGTAATCTTTCATCACTTTTTGAGAGAAGAAAACGTATTAGACGTTGAAAGATAATTTCTAGACGGAAGAAAGTTGAGTAACGGTTATTTTTACTGCCAAAACTATGACTACAATATTTATAATGGGTGGCAATCTGCATAATGACCATCTATGGATTTAAATTTAAGATTGCTATTAAATATGCTCTTGGTATTATATAGGGTGTCTTAAATTTTTTTTTTCAACTCCTACTCTCTCAAATGTTTCTATTTGATGAAAAACAAGAAAAACGTTTACTTCAGTTGCACCGAAACTATAATAGCCTTCACAAATACAAATGATTTTATACCAGAACTTGATTTTGGTCGGTTAGTTGGTATGGCAGTTATATGATCCCGTATCAGCGGTTCCGACAAATATGAAACTTCTTGGGAGAATAGAACGTGTGCAAAGTTTCAGATCGATATCTCAAAACTGAGAGACTAATTTGCGTATATACGATAGACGGACAGATGGACGGGCATGGCTAAATCTACTCAGCACGCAATGCTGATCATTTATGTATACACTTTATAGAGGGTCTCCGACGTTTTCTTCTTGGCGTTACAAACCTCGTGGCAAACTTAAAACCTTGCCGCTTCAGGGTATGAAAATTCTCACCAAACATTAGACCTGTTACTCAACTCTAGCGAGTGTTTTATTTTCATTTAAAAAGCACCCTAATATACATACTTATTATATAAATGTAGCTAGTATGTGACCTCTCCTGCTGATATGAGCTCTATTAAGCCCACAGTAGCGATTAGTGCCAAAGCCCGCTAATTTAAAACAATTTTATTTATTAATTGCTTTATTGACTATTAATATAATAAAGGCGACAATAAAAACAAGCAAAATAACAAACAATCTGGGTTAAAAGCTTGATCCCAGTTCACAATTTTTAAAACAAATAGAACATAGAGAAGAAATGCCAAAACTGTTTGCTGCCTTAGCAGTTAAGAAAATAATATTTCAGACCCCAGTTGATATGACAGTAATGTTGCTATTATTGAATCACAAATTGATTTAAGTGGGTTGAATTTTACTACCATTTTACTTTGATACAATATCCCAATTCATTCACAGTATACTTAATTATAATCTAACTTAATCTGCTCTACCTTTTAGATAATATCGGAGGAATGTCTTAAAATACGTCACAGGCTATGTACTTATCAGATATATTTTATATAGGTAGACGTTATGAAGGTAGCTCAAGATTTTCTGAAATATTTTTTCTTAACTGTGGGTTTACGGTTATCAGATATTTAAATATTATTACGTTCCAAATTAGGGAATAAATTGAAGTACTGATGTATTTAAACTACACTGATTTGAAAATATTTATAGGTTTGATACAAATTCGTGTTTATGAAAAGTTTTGGCTTCGAAAATCAGTGAATATGATACAGATTTACAAGCTGGCTTCACAAATAAAGGTATTCAACAATAATACTTTAGTTGAAAACAAACAAAAATGTTCTTTATACATTAGGGTTATTCTTAAAAATATAATTATATCGGCAGCACCATACCCGTGAAGTCAACTATCGGTTAAGTCACTGGTTAATTACCCAAGAGGGCTACCAGAGACTTCTTTTAAAATTCCTATGAGTTTCTTAAGACCGAATTGACAATTATAATGGAAACTCTGTGGGATTTCTTCTTTTTTTTTTTACTAATTCCTATCCGTAATTATTGATTCATAGTATTTAAAGAATATTATCGACTAAAGTGGTTAAAGTCCATTAAAACTAACTGGTTTTCTAAGTAAATTGAAAATCTAAGTCTAAAAAATAACAAACAAATTCTGAAATATCGTGTTCAAATACAAATACGTGTTTATTAAGTAGACCGTTGAATATGCGCATGTTATGATTGTTGTTGCAATCACTCTTCACGTGTTTATTAAAATTGTGAGTAAATTCAATCTTGAACGAAAATCCAGAAAGATCAAAACAAGTAAATATTTACGAACAAACATATAATAAATTAAAACACAAATATGACAAAATTTAGCAGGGAAAGCAAGTTTGCGGAAAAACAAGTTTCAAAATTTAACAAATCAACAATTTATGTATTTACGAATTTTTATTATGCGTACGCATTCACATAAACAAATGGATCCCCAATGACCAATATTCATTTATATTGTGTTGCGAGAACGCCGGACTACGTGCGTTAAAGGACGTATTATCAGTTCAGTTGTTTTTTAAATATTCATATATATGTACATATATATATATATATATGATATATATATAAATTTATATTTCCATGACCCTTTCATGAACGCCTGAACAAAGAAATAAATATAAAATCAACAAACACCCACCAGAGTACATTCGTTTAACATAAAATAAGTTCTCTTCAAACAATACTATTCTCTATCTTGCGTGTGCTCTCTCTGTGCGCAAAAACCGGCCGCTAAAAGCTTGTGGTGAATTTATTAAATCATACATTCAGAACAGTAAACAAAACGTGTTCTCACCACAATTTGCACCAAATGTCGAAATGTCATACGAAAGAGAGAAGCCAAAAAGTCAAGTAGAATCAGCTGACAACCAGCTTGTCAATTGTCATTATACAATTTCTATTGTGAAATTAATTTGTTTTTATACACATATCATTTCTACTAAAATATTTGAAATAATGAGTAATTTGTTGAATATTACCAAGCAAACTTGTCGTTTGTGCAAGTCGACTTTAAAACAAGCATCGGCAAATGTTTTGCAAACCAATATTGCTGCTATATCCACGACAGCGTGTGTTTGCGGTGATACCAAGCAGCCAAAGGAAAAGAGTGCACGCGTTGTGGAGTTTGAAAAGAAATTGCGTGCTAAGACACCAATTGGCAAACTAGATGAGTTTTCACAACATCCATTCCAAGAGAAAGAACCTCTAAAACCGTGGCCAAATGCAACCAACCCACATACTGGAGAAATTGGCGGACCTGCTGGACCAGAACCAACACGATACGGTGATTGGGAGCGTAAAGGACGTGTTACGGATTTTTGAATGGACTTAATGGATTTTTACTTTGTGTTTGATCTTACTGTTATTATTTGTCACGAATCCTAATAATTAATGGAATTATTACTATTAAATATTATTATATATGTATTATATATTAATAGTGTCATATATTACATCATCTTAATCAGAGAATACATATAGTCACAATAGGTTTTTAAGAAAATATGTTTTGCGATAAACTTGGATCGTGGTCCTATTTCTATTTTCTATTGCACCGAGACGTTATGCTCGTCCTCAAGACAGACCGATTTACGTAACCAGTCCCGACATAAATATACATATATCCGCCAAAGACTGATATATAACTCCCCTAATCGGTGCTTTTTCACAACTAATTTTTGGCGACTCGCACAGTAGTCATATATCGGCCATAAAGATATGGACACCTAACACAAAAGGGAAGATAAAATTGGTCAAAGAGCAATTTAAGAGTCAACAAATCCATATGCATAAACTAGATTCTATTAATAGAAAGATTGTTCTGGATTATATCGTTGCCTTTGGTAATATTCTATGTCAAATTTCGTGAATACATCTTGTCAAAAAAAAAATTCTATACAAGAACTTGATTTTGATCGATCAGTTTGTTTAGCAGCTATATGCTATTGTGGTCTGATATCCGCCGTTCTGACATGGCATCGACTCAGCTCGTCACGCAGGTCACTTATATATATATATATTTTTAAGGTCTCCCAAGTTTTCTTCTGGGTGTTACAAACTATAATAATTGAATCATTCCCACCAGAGATAAAATTCCCACTGACCGAAGAGTATTAAGTAATTCTCAGACCAAATAGCAGCTCGAATGTTTACGAATAGAAATAATCAAAATAAAACAAGTTAGTTTGCAATTTTCCTGCCTCCCACGATAACAGCTGATTTCACCTATTTCTTTCTACTCAAATTTCTTCCGAGTGTCACAGCTGATTTTAGTTTAGTGGCTTTAAAATTTTAGTTCAATTTGTTAAATTTCTTTAATTTATTTTTCTTATATAATTTAAATTTGTGTTTTGTCTAAAATCATGTTTTATTTCCCATAATAATAACCGAACGGCATGTCGGAATATGGCCAGGAAAATCGGATCTTTGTATCCGATGATGCTGAGGATTTGGACCGAATTGAAGTGATTACTACATCGACGACGTCATCGCACAGCGAACTACTTACGCAACTAGAAGGCAGTCAAAATTTGCTTACCACCAGTTGTAATGAACAGCAGTTCAGGATTGTTATAGGTGCTGCGACTGCAGATGATGCGAAAAGCAAACAAAGCGATTGTGGCGGCAGTCGCGATGGTGCTGATGAGCAATGTGGCGATGAGTCTATAGAGTTAATTAGTAATTTTGGCACGCTCCAATATAGACGAGCAACTTCACCATTGGCGGCGTTAGCTAGTAGTTTCAATCGTGGAGCGACTCCTACGAATATGGTTAGTTGTGCAAATTTATGAAAATTGTTATTGGTATAAAATTAATTCCACTTTTTCGTTTTAGATGCGTCGCTGGTCACAAACTTTGGCACGTTTCGATCGAGATAAGCACGGCATACGTGAGAAAACAATTTATCGCATGCCATCGCGTAGGTATTTGCAGGCGGATGGAAAACTGCTCTCGAATAGTCGAGTTGATGCTGAAAATGATATTGAATTGTTGGCAAAGGAAATCGAGCAACATGACGGACTCATGCAAGATACAGCGCTCAGCCATGAACATAGACTGTAAGAAAAAGTTAAACGTAGTTTTTGTACATTTTTGTTTTAAACATAACATTTTAGTGAAACGCTTCGTGCCCTGCCGCAACCACTTGCCACTAAGCGTCTACTCAAACGAAAGTTAGCCATCAGCATTGAACAGCAGGCAACGGAGGAGTCGCATTGCAGTTGGTGTCATAAATTAACAAATGCTTTCATAAGTTTTCTCTTAAGAAGTTGGAAACTCGTTGGTGTTATAAGCCATAGTTTGGAAATATGGTATGATGAGGTTAAAACCATCGAAGGACATTTCGGCTGCAATGTCAGTTCATACTTTAAATTTCTACGCTGGCTCTTGATGTTAAATGTATTCGTGTTGTTTTGCATTATCTGCTTTGTCATATTTCCACAATTACTCTACAATACCATAGCAAACGAAATGTATCTCAACGAAACAGTATTAGCTGATAAGTACGCGGGAAATTCTAGTGAGACTGCTAGTGGACTAATCATGCATCTTTTTACTGGAGAGGTAAATATTTTATGTGGAAAGTTTGTTTATCTCGCAACCCATAACAACTCTTTTCATTTTAGGGTTATATGCAAAATTCATTAATCTTCTATAGCGGCTATAGCAATGCAACATTTCGTCTACATCCAGCGCTTAATCAATATAGCCTGCCACATGCTTATTTCATGACAATGCTGGTGCTGTATTTGCTGAATTTTATAGTGATTTCCACGAAGTGCGTATTTCAAAATCTTGTGTGCAAATATTTTATATAATATACGTACTATAAACTCCTCTACCAATAGAATGGCGCGCGTGTATCGCATAAGCTTCATTCAAGCCGCAGGCGGTGGCAGGGCCATACTCGTGGCCAAAACATTCTGCGCTTGGGATTTCGGCATATCTAATCGGAAGGCGGCTGAACTGAAACAAATTGCGATTTTTGCCGAATTCAAAGCGGTACTTAATGAGCGGGCTGTGCCCAAAAGAAAGCCAACCGTTTGGTGGCGTATTTGGATTTTTTGTTCGCGCGCCATTGCCCATGTGCTAGTGGCTACCATAATAGGCGGTGCTGGTGTGGGCGTGTGGATTTTGTTGAAAGTAAGTTCTGTGAAGTGATAATTGTTGTACTTTGTTGTAATTTGTTGTAATTTATTGTATTTATATGCGTTACCAGGAACTTGACTCAACTGATGACGTGTCTGGCTGGCGAACTCTTTCAACTGCTGGTATTCTAAATCTCACAATGCTGCTTATGCAATCTGTCTTATCATGGATTTCGCGGTAAGGCGATTTGTATACATATTTTATATGGCTTCTTTATATAAGCTTATGCATTTACATTTAGAATGGAAGATTATCGTTCGCCGCGCCGCACGCTACATATAGCATTATTGCGAAATTTTTTGTTGGAGGCTGTTATTATAAGCGTATTGGTTTACTTTCTGCTTACAAAGTCATACAGTCAGGTGAATTGCTTGCTATTTTTAATATCTGCATAATTTATTTATGTTTCCCAATATTTTCAGTGTTGGGAGACTCATATAGGACAGGAATTGTACCGTTTCATAATAACCGATTCCTTCATCTGTTTAATTGTCATACCTTTCTGCTGTGCCACTCGCACACTTTTGTCAAGGTAAGTGCCTGGCGCTGCTATATGTTACAAATACTATTTTTTTTTTCGAAAATTTCAGCTTGTACTGGCCTTGGCTCGGTCGTCCCGACTTTGATATTTCACAAAAAAGTTTGGGTCTCGTTTACAATCAAACTTTACTATGGCTAGGTTTACTCTTCTCACCACTGCTTGTCGCAATTATCGTCTGTAAATTGTTCCTAAAGTTTTATATAAACAAAGCGCTTTTGCTGCATCTGTGTAAACCTTCGTGTCACATTTGGCGTTCGGCCCAAACGCAAACGCTTTATCTAGTCTTCACTTTTGTATCAATACTGGGGGTCATCCTGACACTGGGTTACATAATGACACAGTACGTACATAATTACTTGCTTATGAGTTCATATTTGTAGTCTTGATCTCTTTCCATTTAGACTGCCAATGAGCGCCCAATGTGGTCCGTTTCGTGATTCTGGTTATATGTTTCAAATATTTATCGACGGTGTGCTGAAGTTACGTGAAAATCAGACACTTTGGCGCATACTTACACTACTTGTCCGTCCAGCTGCCGTGGGCATAATGTTGGTCACACTAAGCGCCCTCGTTTACTATTTGCGTGCCAAATCACGTGCGCGTCGTCTTATGGTTAAGTTGCTTAAAGAAATGATCTATCTGGAGGCGAAAGACAAGGAGTTCTTATTAAATCGTATTATAAGTGTGTCAAAAAATCGTGATTGGTCGCTTGCGGATGCAAAATCACTGAGAAGAAGACGTCAGCGTACTCCACAAACGCCACAAACTGAAATGTTTGTACAAAACGAAATCAATTCGAATATTTCTGCGCGTAGTGATGGTTTTATATTGCGCAGTCGTGATGTTTAGCGTGCTAGTTTTTGTTGCGGCAACTTTCCTAAAGATTTGGCGCCCTTAAACCGACCTGCACCAGTCGGGTCTACGGATGTGGAACGAACTCGTATTTTTACGATCTACTCTTTAGCAATCGTCAAAATTATTTCACAAAGGTTTTCTGCAGCTTCAACAACAACAACAAAAACCCTACAAAAAACTGGCCTGTTTTCAGAACAAACGTTCGTTCTTGACTATAGTAGTTACTTAAGTTCATATATTATGCTATCGTTTACATATTTTGTAGTTATTTACTGATTTGTATCGAACAAATATTGAATTGTCTGATTTTATTTATATATTTTATTATAAGTATAATTTTTATCATATTTTTATTTATAATTATATACTTATAGATTTATTTAGATACAAAAGATACAAAAACTTGTATAGTTTTGAAAGTAATATGCTGCATTGACCGACCATATAATTTTGAATTATTTCGAATCCAAAGCGGTTCGAAACTGACTGTCGTCGGAATAACAAAAGTATTAGCTAAAAATATATTGACATCTTAAATATGCATATATATATATATAGATCTTATATTTTAAATATACACAATATATTCTTATATATACATATACATATCTTTTCAATTAAATATTAAAAGCCTAGTTTTATATAAAATAATATTGATTATTTTATATTGAAAAGCAATTGATTTACTTTTAATATAGACTTATAACTAGCTATGAAGAGGGATGTCATATATGTATATATGAAGTTAGTTGAAAATAATACGAAAGATTGGCCCTTAAAAGGTCGACTCCAAAAACTACCGGGAATTATAGCGAACTCATCAAAACTGGAATTCATTTCTCAAAACCAAAAAAATTTTGATTCTGGGTTAAAATTGTTATGTAATTTTCATAAAATATATTTTCCAGTAGTGAAATCATATCTATGTAGTATATTTGCTATTCGCCGAGTACACAAATTTATAGAGTATCGACTTTTCCAAGCCTAATTATTTATTTATTGTGTTGTCTATACGAAAGTTTTTAAAGAAATAGTCTCGAAGTTAGCATCAGATTACTAAATAAATAATTTCGATACTTCCATTTAATCTAATATATTTTTTAATACTTATAACTATCACGAATACCAGGAATATGATATTTTTATTAATGTTTTTAATTTAACAATCAAACAATTCATTGATCAGCATATATATTTAATTAAATTGAAAATTTATTGCATATTACATTAATTATTTCATTATTATGAAAATAAAAATTTACTTTTTTAATTTCGCAAATATATCCAATAATTTCCATCAACATTCATATAGGAATGTTATTTTCTTATTGGCAGCACCATTAGCAGTGTTGTATGCGCAGTGCAGGGTTGGCAAACGGTCTGCTCGAATTTGTTTTTGTTTGTGTTATGTTCTTTCTCTTTACATTTATTGGTGCATTTTCAAAGACGCTGTGAAATTGTTCACACATAACGTAAAAGAGAAGCGGAAAGTTTTTGTTTACGTAGTGCTTTTTAAAGCAGCAACAACAATTAAATTAATCCACAAAAATATAGTGAATTTATATGCACAAAATTTGATAAATTAATATTTATAATAATAATTTTTATAAATACCCGTAGCATTTGTGTAAAAATTGGCTAAGAGCCAAGTAGCAAACCATACAACTATTCGCTTAAAATTCCAGCATAAAATTGCAATCCGAATCAAAGAGGTAAAAGACGAGGCGTAAATTCACTTAAGTGTACATATCGCATACTTGAAATTGTGCTAGTTTGTTTTTTTGGTTTTTCTCAATTGCAAAGTGAATTTTGGAAAAGTGTGAATAAAATAAAGCGTTCATTTAAGTGTAAATATTTTTAAATATTTGATACATATTTTGCATATTGTGAAATACACACACATACACATACAGTTATAGAGTGCAGTGCTTAATAAGTGAAAACTGGAGTCATCGGCAGCTGAAGCAAAAATGCAAAACTATGCGGATGCCTTGAGTGCCAAGGGGTATCGCAGCTTTGGCTTCGATACGGACATGGAAATGGAGTTCGATTTGAATAATGGGCATGACTTGAAAACCAAATCGGGTAAGTACAATAGTTTAAAATTTTTTATATGTATACATTTATTGAAAATTAAAGTGTCTAGTTGTACGGAAATAGCATATGCTGATAAATGGACAAAAAAATATACAAAGAACCGGCAAACCCGTCAGTTAAAAACGCACAATATGTTAAAAATACTAAGTTTGCGAAATATTTTTGTAAGTAGGTTGAGGTGGCAGTAGTTGATTTTTTGTATGACGCAGCTTTTCCAAAAACGATGGCCATTGTGCTGACACTACGTTTGTCATAGGTATGAAAAGTTTATATGTAAGTATAGTATGTACGTATTTATAAAGCAACGCAACAGTGGAGTATTGTGCTGGCGGCTTGGTTGAAGTTATTGTGTTTGTTTTTGAGGAGCGCCAAGCTGTCGGATTAAAATGACTAAAACAAAACAAACAAATACATATTTGCCAAGTTTACCAAGATTGTTCTAGTGTTGTGCTATATTATATGTATGTATATAATTATGTGCTTGTTTCTTAAAAATTGAAATAATATAGCGTTACTGATTTTTTAAAATGCTATTTGAAGGCATCTAAGGTATGCGAATGCACTTTTTAGAAAATCAAATTTATGCACATTTTGTTATTAAGGCAAGTAAACAAGTCATGTTCCGTGTAAAAATTCCTGCCTGACAAGATTTTTTTTGACGTATGCAACAAATGTCTGTTTTTGACAGCCTTCTAAATCACCAAGTATTATATTATACAAATTTTTTCAAACGTGTTATTTTAACTTTTACGTTTTATACTGTTTGGACATATGTACATATGGATATACATGTGTACTATGTACAAATATATGTATGTATGTAGGCACAAGTTTAATTTTTTCCTTAGGTGAAATGAAAACCTAATCTATTAAGATTCGCTCCACAATAGCTAGTAACATGTAGAAATGATTTTAGATAAGCAAAATGTGTGCACTTACAATAAACAAATGATACGTACATACATACATACATACATACATACATATGTATAAAATAAACTTGGTGTCTTTCTTTGGCTTTGAAGTATCTTGAAAATAAATTAATCAATTAGCTTAAATTTGCTGCTTATTTATATAGTCTCTGCATATGTAGGTGAATTGATTTCTTAATACTTTTTCCAATTAGAATATTAATTACCCTAAAATCAATAAATCATAAACTAATATTTTTAAGATAAAAAACTTAAAATCTATAAATCACAATAATCGAAAACAAAAATATTTTTAGTGTAAGTTTTTAAGTATATACATACTTTCTTAACATGTGCCTAAAATGCCTTTCCATTTGTTTATAGAAATCGAGTTAGATTTGTAAGGGTTTGCTTGTTTGAAATTAAAGATTGGGCTCATATTGGCTTTAATAGTTCTATAGAATTTAGTTCATGAACAAAATTTAACTCACTTAAGTATATCTCGTCAAAAATGAGCCGATTGGTTTCCAATTAGATAGTCTTAACTGGTTTATCGCCATAGATCATCGATTTGACATAAACCGATCATTACTTTAATAATTGATTTGTCAGTTCATCCCTAAAAAAATTCGATATCTTTCAAAATATCTGTACATATGTACATCTGATAAAAATGTTGCAGAAGTATTTTGGGGAGTCCTTTTTATCACGAATACAAGTATTTAAGTGGCACAAAGCATTCGGTGAATTCATCAAAAAATTGCCGCGTGCGAGTCGTCCATCCACCTCTGTTAACATCGAAAAAGTTAAAGAAACAGTGCTTGAAAATTGTTGTAGTGGCTTCAGAGAGATATCATAGGATCTCAACATCTCTTATGGCTCCACATTTTGCTTATTAAACATGCCAATGCTAGAGTTGTACCAAAACACCTGAAACTTTTGCAAAAATGACGTCGAGGCGTTAATAAAGATTTCTATTTAAATACGTGAAAATGTTTTTTTATATCAGTCAAATTTGATATATACTTGTATATACCTACATATGTTTGTACATGTAAATGTGTATATGTTGTTAAGGTTTTCAGTATTTTTGAGTATCTTTAAGTATTTCCTTTGCATTATAAAAATAACCATTAAATCAACTATTATTCATATTGAAGATACTTTGTCTCCTGTTTGGTATTCATTATCCATCATAATCACCATTATTTGTTCACCTTTATAATATTATCTATGTATATCCATCATAATCACCATTATTTGTTCACCTTTATAATATTATCTATGTATATATACTTTTTATATGCCAAAGAGCTTATTAAAGTGTTAAGTGTATCGATTTATCAGCATAGAAACGCCATAGTTTTAGTTTGTGCACATAAATGTATGTATATACCCGTTTTTTCATATTAACTTATAAAGGCGATAAATTCTGGTCAGATATGAATTTATTATCAAAAATAAAAACACATATATAAATATAAATGCTAATATATAAAAATATACAACGATATACGATGAACATACCGATATACGAGTATATTATGTGTATAACTATGAAAATCTGATATTTATTGATTTTTCATTTTTTCTTTTTTTATTTATTTTTTTATTCTACATATTTATGTAAAGTTTAATCCAAAGTTATAATTAATAATAATAATAATAATTAATAATAATAATAGTAATTAATAATAATGATTAATAATAATATAATTAATAATAATAATAATTAATAATAATAATAATAATTAATAATACTAATTGAGTTTATCTAAATAAATATATTTAAAGAATTTCGCCGAAATTCATTAAAAATTCTTTCAACATGTCATATCTTCTGTTTACTGCAAAATAGCTCTGCTTAGCAATTGCGTTTAGTATACGCATAGTTATAATCTCAATTTAAATATTTTACATTTTTCTTATAGCTACCTAGAGACTTGTATCTATGCAGACTTAAAGTTTTGCCTTCGTCGACACGAGTGTCTCTGAGTGCATTGCTATCGCAATAGTTTTAATTTTCGCTTGCATTAGTCATAGTAAATATCTCGCATAAATATTTCAACATTCGCAATTGTTTTCTTCTAAAATTTCAGCGATTCAACGTTTACTGGCGCTTACATATGGCGTTAATTTAAATTTAAGAATATTATTATTTATATTATCTTATCAAATAAGATTAGACTATGTATGTACATTAGGGTGGACCAGAAAGAAAATTAATATTCTTTTTTCGCTAGGTACTCTGAAAAATAGCTTCTTAGGTATCTCTGCAAAAATCTCTCCAAGAATGATCTCTTAATTTGGCGGGAAGGTCCCCCGCCTTAAATTTTCATTTTTTTTTTTTTTATTATCTAATAGAAAAATTTATATCTCGCTTTCAACATTTTAAAAAAATATCTCGTTTCATAGGTTTTGCAAGAAATTGAATGCTCCACAAAATGATCTCCAACGAATTTTTCTTAAACGGTTGTTCAAAAGATATTAACGGTTGAGTAAATTCTTTTAAAGTAAAGTAATTCTTTTATTTTTTTAAAAAA